CAAACACCACAACCACCACCATCTTAGAGAAATAAACCAGTAAGTTTAACTAATAATAAAATTAAGTTGCCTCGTGCTTAACTAAGTAAGCACTACGCCATGAAGACATATTGGGGAATGGATGTATAGATCCACATTTTCTTGACTTCAGCAGTAGCTGGAGATGAGTGATCAGCTTCACGCCCCTAAATTTAACTAAAGTTAGTCTAAAATTATAAATGTATAAACATGTATAATGTTATATATCCTGTATTTGATGTATAAAGAAAAGCGCCAAATTGTACTGTTCTAAACATATGCAGCCTCTACCTGCACTGTAAGATAAACGTCATCTGTCTCTGCTTATTTATTTTGATATTTTTCTTTTCATCTCCGGAATATTCTCCTTGTCAGCCATTTTATTGGCAGGCGGCGATTTGTCTGTAGGAATTGTATGTATGCAGCAGAGTGTCTTGATTTCATTCAACGATCTTCTATATTAACTGTTTATATGATATTGGCATATATAGCACAGATGTTCAGAGTGTTAGAGGCGCCTGAAAAGCGTGTTTGTGTTTCATGTACAGTTCTCTAATGGTCAGAGTATGCTCCTCTCGGAGAAGAGAACAGTTTCGTGATATCTCACTTTCGTGTGAAGGAAACTGTTTAAAATTCTCATCGACGTTTGGTGCTACGTCGTGTGCGAAATCCTGTTGTGTTCCAGAATTTTAATTAACTACATATGGAGATTCAGTACAATATGTTGCGCTTTATTGTAGTTCTGTTTTGTATGTTTCAATTTCCGTTCTGTTTCAGGTGGGTGTGCCCGAGGTCCGTCAATACAGAACAATGCCAGACACTCAACAGCTGAGCTTTCTGTCCCTTTCGACTACACTGTTCCCAACGCACTACCACAACGGACAGCTTATTCTCAAGTGCACTGCCCACGTCACCACTTTGTACCGCAAGACAACGGAAGTTCACCTCAGCTCCAGAGCCAGAGAGCCCATTCCAGAGAGGGGTACGTTACAGACAACCCCAATTGTTTTCATTATGACCGGAGCCGGCCCAGTAATTATTTGCCATTGTTGTTATCTCAAACTCTGTAGCCACGTGTGTGGAGTACTCTTATCTTTTGCATAGGAATTTAGGAATATTATTAGCCATGAATGTGTGGTATCCATATTGCATAACGTCCTAGCGACATTGTATGACACTCTTTAATTTAGAGGTAAAAAAAGGCAAAGCTGTCCCTGTAACAGGCCATGGAGGCCCATAGGACTGTGAGACGTCGAGGCTCCCACATTTTCTAGACAATCGGCTTACAGATGGCGATGAGTAGCCTTATGCGTCTGCCGCTCTTTACCCCCAGGAAGATTCCTGGTACATATTTATGTTATGTTGAGTTGACCCCAGGGCCATAATGCAGATGGAAGGATTAGGTCATTTAAGAAATCCAGTGACCTCATCGGAAATCAAACCCGCGATATTTCGGCTTGTAGCATAGTGCCTCAACCAACTATGCTACCGCGTACCCCTCTTTAATTTAGAGATGAAAGGAAAATAACAATATATAATTGAAACAAAGTAACTGTTGACAGGGAAATATTAATAAAATATAATCATAACCAAGTAAAGATTTCATTATATCTGATATCTGAATAACACTTAGGTTATTGACATTACTGTCATAAAGGATACGTAATTATTAATAAAATATGGGTTAATGTATGATGATCAGATAAAATGAAATTAAATTATATTACTAATATGGACAAGAATCCAGTGGGCGAAGACGAAAATAACGACAACGACTTCGTGTGTCTTGCACTGACAATGAAGCTTATAACATAAAAGTGTTGATATTTATAATCATACCATGGATAATGCGTATAACATATTATAATACAATTCACTGTTTCAACTAATAATTATTTCAGTAACATTTCCTTACTCTTGAGAAATGAAACTTGGAACAACACTCCAGTTTTTTATGAGATTATGTATGCTCGTCGCATAGTCACACTGTCAAAACTCTCCATAATCCTGGCTAGAAGAGAGTTTACCAATTTTTATAATTAGAAATATTTACATAAATATGGATTAAGTACTGTCACATTGTACGTATGGCTATAGACGGGGTCTGGATTGGTGAATACGTAGATTTATTGACCACTTACAGGTCATACTACATAAAACTATATCGGTATTTCCACACTTTACACTTCACTACAGCATACAGTCTAGTATTCTCAGTCTGTTGCTAGACGTTTCCTGGTAACGGCTCCGACAATGGCTATTCCTCTGCCTCCGGTTAAAGTCCTGTTTTCACATACTAACATAAAGAGCTGACGAAGTTCTAACCTTGTTCCTTGCTTATAATAGCTCGGCATGGACTACATAGAAAAAACAGCTATTCTGCTGTTGCGTTACCTTTGTGTCTGATGTTGCAGGAACCTGTTTACCGAGACCTTGCCCGAAATGGCCCTGGTATATCCGCCCATCTCTCGGTCTTTGTATGGCAACAACTGAACACGCTACAATACGTTTCAATTTCGAAATAATTATCCACTTCAGTATATGTGTACAGTTTATCTGTGTAGGTTCAGTTTATGATATTGCTGAAGTTTGTAGCCAAAAGATTATTTGAGCTGTAATTCGCATTAAAGTTCGCCACTGGAAACTACCCCGTTAATGTTTTAAGGCATTAATAAAAATCAACATACACACACATATATATTTATATAAAAAGTTATTCTCACAATATCTATAGAAACTTATGTAGCTGCTATTCGTAAAAACGAACATGCTAATTTCTATAATTTATGTCAGAATTCTCAAGTGCTATTATACAGGCATTCATTAAGTTGGTGTTGTAAATAGAATCCACTGAGCAAAGGAATATCTTGAAACGAGAGTTCTCAGCCATTTGTTTTAAGTTGTCACAAAGTTTACCTTATTTCTTCTGCCGAATGATACAGTTCGGAAACATTCTCTTCACTTCTTCCTCCCGATACATGAGAGTCTGGTTTCAAACAGCAGACTGCAAACATGCTATGAAAAAGAAGTTCAGCTTCCAGGATAATGTGCTTCAAATGGAATATCTCTTTCCGTAACCCCAACTAAACTGTAAATCATTCATAATTATGAGGACTATAAGACACGGATATTTAGTTGCTGTTAACAGTTTAAATTCGATTATTTCAGAATACAAAATCCTCGTACTTTCGTTGGTACTAGACATTTCTTCTGAGCCCGTAGTCCTTTGTTCCGTGCTGTTCTTATGACCGTTCCTTCTACCGCTTGCCTATGATGTAATCTAATTTAATTCTGTTAATTTTTAGGGTTTCATAATTACTCTCATTTATAAGGTAATGATACTTAGTAGTTTGTGTTATCCTAATAAAAGACTTTATTTCTGGTACTTAAAGTACATATTATGTTGTTATAATATTTATGGAGACAAATTATAGAAATAGAGATTACAAGAAGTAACGACAAAATAAACAAGGATGATTACTAGAATGTATAATATCTGAAGTACTGAAGGTAGAATAAATATAAATAATCACTACACTCTGCAATGTTTGGAGTTGGTAGAAATTTCATGACGACTGAATTCGAGGAAGTCTTCAATCATTCACTGCACTCCATTCGATCATTAACGAGAAAATGTGATCCATAATTAATGAATGTTAGCTGTGGTCGGTCACTGCGGAGACGTATACAGGAAACCTGACTGTTGCTTCGTAAGAGGTTGAACGGATATTTATATTAATTGTGTTGCAATGCATCTGTTGCGTCTAATATATGAATTCTCATAATTTAGTCCCTCAAGTGTTTGAATGTCGTAAACTCTGTGGGTAGAACTTACAAGTAGAAAAGAAAGGCCATCTGCTGGTTTTCCTTGTTTACTCCGTAGAATTTTGCAGGATTCCAGCTTTAATAAGTATGTTTAATTAGATGTCAATGCTTCATTTCGCATCACTACAAGCTTGCCTACAGGGAACAAATGTTCTCTTCACACTAGCTAGTTTCTCTCGAAAATAAATATTTTATTTGTAACTGATAACAAAACATCCAGAGCCATAGACATAGAGGCTGTATGAATATGATATATTTATTTCGACGGATAGAAAATTTACTGATCTTCAAAATATAAATCAAATCTGATGACAGCCACTGAAATTGGAAAGAAAGCTGCAGGGTCATCATAGTGTTCAGAGAATGCATTTGTTAACGTTTTAGTCGTGTCAAATTTCGTAACACGCTTGTGAAAATGGTTTGAAAATGGGTTGCATATTCCTCTACTGAAATGAGTTTTAGTTTTCGCATTTTTTGTTGTGCATGCAGTATAACCTGTTAGGTGCAAGTGTTTTTTCGAAATCGTTTCATCCTTTATTCATTATCTTGTTTGCAAATATTTGCATATTGGAGCAACCACAAACATCTACACATGCATATTCAATATTTAATAGACAATGAATCACCCATCTTCATTTCTCAAATAATTACAAATAAATTTCTAACCGAATTGTTTATTTAAAAAATACAAAGAAACAAACAATGTGTTATACGCATACAGAAGAATATCGTTCAACTGTCAATAACATTACGGAGATATCACGAGTCACATGAGCATATTGCACAAAGATCTGCTTGCTATTTCGATGAAAACAATTTTAATAGTAATGCACTTCATTTCATTGTTTTAATTATGAACTTCAAACTTGAATTCACAAATTTATTCAGAAATTTTGCTGCATAGAGTGAACACGATATTTCTGTACATACATACATTTCCCATGAGACAAACTTTATTGTGTTTCTCTTGTAGCAGACAAATTTATCAATCCACACAATTGTATACAACCTGCTTTAGAATTCTAAAGCTCTGCATTCTGCCCACAGGGTTTGTTCGTGTGTTTCTCATAATAAGCAGTGATATTTTTACGTAAACATCATTAAGCGGTTGGAATTTGAGTATAGGCGTCATATGTTTCCTAAGAAGGACGAACTGTAATTGTATATATCATTTAGAAGGAATTCGGCACTTGCAGTGTTAAAAATAGTTCATATATCTATTAACTGTCTTGCTACTGAGGCTGAAAAATGTTAACAATCTTGTTCAAACTCTGTGTATGTGTGTGTGTGTTCGCCTTTTATGTAATTTGTTTAGCTAATTTCTGAATCTGTCTTTTTACTTGGGTAATTTAATGAGGCTTTCTGACTATATTGCATCTTATGGCAGGAAGACAAAGGAATGATAATGAATTGGAAAGAATTTTGAAGAAAGCTGTCTTGACCTAAAAGAATACCTTCTTGGAATTTGCCTGGAGCGACTGAGGATAACCACGTGGAAACTCGGTCAGGGCACCGGTTTTCAGATCAAGATTGGAAACGATCTCCTCCCGAATACAAGGGGTACCTGTAGACCCCACTCTTCAGTCTGTAGTGGGGATAAACTGAGTAACTGCAAAGGCTGCACCAACATACTACTATGGATGGGCACATGAAAATCATATATCTCTATGGTCTTCTGGTTGCACTGAAGGCTGTTACGAACGTTTTAGATATACTTATTGCTACCACCTTCAGCGTGAAAGACTGGAATACTGGTAAAACAAACCAGACTACACGGTGTCAGAATCTAGAGTGGTCATTCACTGTCGTCAAAGCCTCAAATATCACTGATTCAAGTAACTTCATATGTGAACTCAGTTCATCATGAATTTGACCAGCTTTGACACAGAGCTTTTCCTTCTGCGCCTCTCCAAGGTGTTGACGGGTCATCATCATTAATTTGGAGGCTACTCTCTCCTTTCCAATCCACCATTCATGAGTATTCAAGCCTGTGTAGATTCAGTGCTTGCTATACAGTAAGACATGGGTACGGAAAAGCAAAGTTGCCCTGTACTTAATTAACTAAACATCACGCCATGAAGACGTATGCCGACGTTGAGGTGTCACTGCATTATTCTTAAACTCCGCACTGGATGGAGGTGAGTGGTCAGCTTCACA